GAAGTCCAAGAAATGTTCAAAAGTCATGGAATTTGTATACATCTAGAGCTCCATTGCATCTGAGAAAACTCAAATGAGGGCCTTGTAATACAATTGAAAGCTCCAGAGAGAGCAAGTTAGTGGACTTTTGAGTTTTAGCTCTTTCATAAAGGTGCCACTTTTATAGATCTTGACTGTGTGATTGCTCACAGCAACACACTTAAATGATCACCACTTGCATGATTTTATGCTGATACCAAAGGTGGCAGGAGCGTCGGCTATTTACGGATTTTTCTCGCGAGAGTTGCCTACTACAGACATGGAAGACGCGAGCAGACTGGATTTTAGTTTCCATTAGTGGGAGAGGACAGCATCGTCTGGCAGGACCACAGCCGTTGTGTCTTTACACGGGCTTTAAATCGGTAAAACGGGTGGAGAGTTTGAAGCTCTGATGTGAGTCTAGGTGGCGTTTTCCATCTGTGAGCGTCCAGCGGATCGGGACTCCGTGTGGACTCAGAAAAATATCGACTGCCTGCATGGACATATTTTCACAGCTGGAAGAATTGAATCAGCGATTAAAGCTCTTTTGTGAATTCTCCACTCATTCTCTTTGTTTTTTGTTTTTTTTTTTTAAACCAAAATATCACCGGAATTCTGTGAGCATCCGAGGGGTAGACGATCCACGGAACCCGGGCAGCGATCCTCACCTCCCGGGCTGGAGAAGAGCCAGCAGGTCGGTTCAAGATCGCTGTTTGAGGTTCAATGAAATAGTGATTTCCGAGGGAAATCCCTGCCTGTTTTAGCGTGGTGGGATTAAACAGGATGTGGGGCAAACAGTGGATCAGACCGACCCCATCACACCATCATGCGCAGGCAACTGTGGCCGGGATGACGGAACATGAGGTGAGGGTTTAAGTTACTGACTGTCTAAATGTCGGGCTCCGGTCACAGAAAGGTGAGATCGAGGGCACATAAACACTCAGACCTCCACCTGTGTCCACCGACATGGATAAACTCACCGTGATATCAGGATCCTCCTCTTCCTCGCTGGCAGACATCTTCGCATCGCCAGCATCGCCAACCCGGACTGGATCAACACTGGAGAATCAGCCCGGTAGGTTGTTGTTGGCGCCTTTGGTCGCAGCACTTGTTTATGTTGTAGTGACGGGAACACACTGGGGGTAAAGAAAGACTGAATCTGAAATCTATATCGGACAAAATATCATTTTGTTTAGACTTGAATCTTTTTTTGTTTTTGCAATTTGACAAACATTTAAAAGTTTAATATCGCATTTTGGGAGAAACCATCACATCGCAGATTCACGGTGGGCTCAATTAGGAAAATCAGCATGAAATCATCGTGTCTGAAGTTAGTGGAATGTGTTCAGAGCAGTGTGATTGTCCACGATCCGAGCCTTTTATAGGTTTGTGACCTTTTAAAAATGAATCGGGTTATTACAGCCTTTGTTGTGGTCAGAGTGTTATGAGGAGTGATTTTTCATCTGGGATTTATTCCTAATGAGGGTGAAAGTATTTCAACGAAGAAACTGTAAACAAAAATTCTTAACGTACATTTCCCCAACTTGTTTCTTGAATTTCAGCTCAAGCCAAAGATTCAAGCTAATAATAACCAAAGCCCCAAGTGTTTAGAAAGGAGGAAGTAACCAGTTTGTTGCCAAAGTCATTCTCTTCTCTGTGGGTATTTTATGTAACGTGTTCAATATGTCCAGAGTGCAACGATCTGGGCTGATGGTGGCAGGGTGGTTTGATTGCAGACCTTCAGAAGGATTCCATACAAACTGGTGCGATGAACCTTAGCTCTCACGACTGCACTATATCAATCAGTATGTTAGTTGACTTCTAATCATCCCGTTACCTGGCAAAGCACAGAGAGGCCTTTTAACAATCAGACTTCTTGTACTTAACAGCTGCGTGGTCACAAGAAGCCAGTAACTGTAACACCTGGACTGTTGTGAGTTGCTCAGTACGCAGCCACTTTACCGTGTTCACGTTTAAAGGCCCTCGAAGACTCAATTTTCTCGAAGTCACCTTCTTACTGATTGAAAACCACCAGACGTCTTCTATGAAACATTTTTTTTTTTTTTATATAAGTTGAACGTTTGGTTATTAACCTAGTTTATATTTGTTTGTTGTGATCTTTTGAAGTTGACGAGAGCCTCAGAGAGCCAAAGGTGATGTCAGTATTGTTGTGAGTGGCCTAGCATCTGAATTCAGCAACTGCTTCAAATTCGATGATATTTTACTAGCCTCCATGGTGGGGACAAATTAGAAAAATTGATTCAGAAGGAAGTTAGCTGAACAGCACTGTGGTCCTGCTAACATTACCTCACCAATTCAACTTGACCACTGGACAGCTTTGTCCAAGAAGAGACAAAGGGGCCTTTGCTAGTCAACTTTGTTTTGCCAGCGAAAATCTACAGTATTATGGGCCAATAAATTGTACAGACTTTGATTGTGTAAAATAGGTGGAGGTTTCCCCTTTTAAAGCTTAACAAATAACAACTTGAGGTTAATTTTATGGAACTTTACAATTTGAATTATCTGGAAAAATTTTAGTAAAGGGAATATTTTAATGACATGAGTTACCACCGCAAGACTTGGACAAATGATGTTTTTTCCAGTGGCATTTCAAATACATTTTTATGCTGATCTCTCCACTTGGAAATGATCCGTGTCTGAAAATGGATAATCCTGATTTTACAGTGCTGGTGAATTGAATGAACATTGGTTTTATAAATATGTGGTTCATCAGCCTGGGTTGTAGATGAAATAAATTGATTGGTTATTACCAATATGATCATATTACAGCCCAGTTAAATTAATCATTAGTGGGAAGCCAAATTTACATTGATGTTACAGTCCCAGTCCTAAAGAATTATAGTGTTATGAAAAACAGGTGTTGGACACAATCCCCAAATCTGTCTGCAGACCAGCCCCCTCCCTTGGTTTTTTGCCAGCAGAGGTTAAGATTCAGATGCCAAAGTTCCAATAGCTAAAACATTGACCTAAAAGCTGATGCAACAGACAAACCAGTACCAACTACAGTATAGGTGCCAGCTGCCACCTAACATACTTAATGGCTACAGTGGTTCCCAGAGATAAGCCGTAGCAGGCGTAACCTTGAAGTGATTATAAAACAGGATTTTAATTTGGTTGTGAAAAACACCTGGCTGCAGTGCAAAAGTCGAGCAAATAACAAAGCCGTTTTTTTGTTGGCTAATTAAATCAGTAATCCACGGACCAAATTTGTTTTTTTTATCTTAGTGTCAGTAGGAACCAAATAATGGACTAAAGTTTCAGAACAGGCTTTCCAACCTTGAGAGTTTTATTCCTAATAGTAAAATAATGGTGTTTGGGAAATTACTGTACTTACTGTACTAAAAGCCCTGTTGTTCCTGTTTAATTAGCCGGATAGTCCATCTAAACAAGGCGGAATGTCTTTGTTGGGGAATGAAGATGTGTGAACTTTTAATTAGGCCCTCCTGGGAGAGAAATGCTTTTCCACCTTGGAGAATTCAGACTCTGCCAGGCTCAGTCATGAAACGTATTTTTATTTTGGCTTGTGATTGCTTAAGTTTATATGTAGAATAATTTCACCCAAACCTGTGTTCTCCTGCACACGAGCGCCTGAATCAGATAAATTCCTTCAGTTTGGCTTGTACTAGGTTTTTTTTAAACTGCCTTTATATTACTTATTTTTTATAATATTCATACCAACACATCGCTGTTGATTGTATTGTTTTCAATAGTTTTTAAGTTAATTTCTGAACTTTTTCAGAGCCTGTTTTCCAGAAGTCTTATGGCAGTTTAAAGAACAGGTTTTCCCCTGTTTTTCTTTCTCATGTTTACTTGTGGATATTTTTGGTGACCAAGGCCTAACAACTAGCTAAAACGAAAAAGGTCACCTTTGTTTTTGGATCCCCTGGCTGGATTAAATCTGGGTAGAGAATGGGAGAGACCCAGGACTTCTCAGTCCATTAAAGCCACTGAACCATAATTGATTTAGTGGTCAGCTGGCCCCAGGGGCCCAGAGAGTCAAGACTCTGGATGAATTGTGTGAAAATGTGTAACTAAACTCACTCCCAGGATGGAATAAAAGATTTTAAAAAAATATATAAGTATTGTGAATTAAATGTTTGATTTTGGAATAAGGTATGGCCATTTTTCCTTCTCACAACGTTTTGCAACTGGGTCAGTCCAAGTGTGCAATCCGCATTTCCCTTTTATTCCTTTTTAAGCACAATCCACTTATAAGAAATAAATCATTTTCCTAACAACCTCTGTTTAAATCACAGCAGGACTGTCAGGACTCTTCAGGGTCCTGTCTTACGATTAGACACAATGTCATATCACATATTACTTCTTCTATTTTAAGTTTTAATCATTTCAACCAGCCTCTTTCCCAAATGTCGCATGTCCCGTCCCATTAATAAATCTTAGACTGAGTTCTTTCCATACAGTATCCCACACCACCACAGGAAACTGTCCCTGTAT